TAATCTTTCAAACCGCTAACCTTGTTCATCAGCTTAAAAAATGTAAGTTTTTAATGCATGGTTGCAGGCATATAAACATCGAAACATCCTTTGTTATCAAAATAAAATTTTAAGCAAATTCGAATAAATATTCAATTGAAATGATTGCCATTTATTGACTTTAAAGGAATTGCTTTTCATTCTGAAACAGCTTCATATACTAAGTGTTTATTAGGTTATACTATGTTGGCGTTGTAAACTTAATTCGAAACTCGTGTTAGAATTAGTACGAGTATGTTGCACGTAGAAAGGTAGCCCTCGAGCCCAACTTAAAACATGAAATGCGCGATATGAAACTTTGAACAAGTTGGAGTGCAATTGCAATATTGCTTCCAAATTGCCAGTTAATCAAACTTTAACTACTGTTCGCAGCAACAAAAATGACGGCGCAAAATTGTTGTAAATTAAACTTTAATACACATGCGTTCAACATAAGATCCTTACCCTTATAGCGCACAGCAGCCGAACACACACACACGCACACACATGCACATTTCACCCCCCTTGTTGGTTGAACGAAGCGTTTTACTTCCTGCTGAGCCCACCTGCTGGGCTTGCATGTATATGCGCTGTTAATATTTTGCAATGCCGGTAAAATCTCAGCATGTGGAATACAGAAAAGCGTGTGGCGCACATTCTGCGGCACCATATGCAAAAATCGGCAATGATGAGGCTGAGGCGGCGTCTGCGTCTGCGGCTCCATTTGCTTGTTCACGCTGTATTCGCCATGCGGTGCTTAGCGTAAGAAAAAATCTGTTGCATACTTTACGGCGCCAACGAAATTTTATTTTTAGCGCGCCTGCTGGCAGGGAACATGGCGTATGATATATGTATATATAGTATGAACATATATGTTTATGTGTGCTGCTTATGTAGCTTGCCTGCGTTGGCATATAAATGGGTAGAGGACGGGTTTTTTTATGCTATGGAATTTTGCATATTCCTTTAGGAAAGTTAGCCAAAGCATATCTTTGATTAGCATTATAAAGCTTTTAAATTTTGCGATACACAAGTCGACAGCAATAAATCATACTGTCTGCTAAAGTTTTGTTTAACTTACTGCTTAAAACTACAATTGCTTATATATACTATTTCTTAAAGGTACTTGTATATCTCTCATAGTCTTTAAAAATATTGATGCTAACTTGCTTTTATAAATTTTTTAGGATAAGTTTTGATTGGCAATTGAACTTGCAATCAGCATAATTTTACTTATTTACTTAAACTCTTCATATATTGATAAAACATTTACAAGTTAATAAAAGCATATACATATATGTAAATATATTTAATTGCTGCATATATTTTTGACATTTTATGCAGCATGGAGAAAATAGCTTTATTATTACTTTAGCATTAACATAATTCGAATACTTAAATCTATTCAGAATTTCGGTTTTTTGTTAAATATATTGTTTTATTTTTATTTAATTTACCTCATTTATTTTAGTTTATGTCGACAAAAACAAGCTATCGGCAACGTTATAATGAAGCCTTATAAGCTAAAAACGCCTAAATAGGAGAAATCAAATCGAATTACAATTATGTCTAATAAACGCCTTCGGCCAGCTATCCTAAAATTCAATTGTAGTCAGTAGTTCATAGACCTTCGAAAACATTAGAAAAAGTACATTATAAATAAAAGGAAACTTAAATTAACTAATAGCTAATTAATTACAAGAAAAATAAATAAAAAAGGAATCTCTCACCCAGTGATAGGTAATAGGTATATATTTCTGTTAACAATTCTCAACATCGAATAACTCTCGCTTCACAATGGATCGATAAGATTTCTTTTGATTAGAAAAAACTTCACATTCATGGATTGTGGAACATTAAATGAACAAGTTATTGAAACCAAAAGAAACGAGTGTTTCTTATCGAATGAAAAGTGGCTTATTATGGTGTTGCCTTCGCAGAAGTTTCATTGTTTAGCTTATGATGTAGTTTAGTACTATTTGCCTCTTTTTCTTACCCTAATTGGATATCACATATCACTGCCTGTTTTAAACCACAACCTTGAATAGTTCTAAAATATCACAAGCATTGCAAGAGCAGTCGAAAAAATAATGCAGCGTTGAAGCTCAAATGCATGTCTCAGCTCACACACATGGAAACATAGTTACGCACTCATTTACACACACACATATATATAAATACATACATACGAATGGTAGGTATGTGTATACTTGTCTGCCTGGGGTAATAATTTAACTTCAGCGCAGCAAGACATGCAATTTAATTTTAACAAAACCTGACATTATCACACACCAACATTGCCAACAACAAGCAAGCAGCCGACACGCACACATACACACAGACACACACACACACGCACAGATAGAACGGCAGAGAGAAACGCTTACACACATCTATGTGCAGATACTTTGGCTTTGCATCATGAGGGCCCCGACAGCAATGGCAACAGTAAAAGCAACGGCAACAACAGAAACGCGGCCGAAGCTCCAGCACAAAGTTGGTAACATAATAAGTAGCAATTTTCGGTTTCCGTTTTCCGGGCCAAGCAACAGCAGCAACAGCAGTAGCAGTAGCAGCAGAAGCAGAAGCGTCGGCAACCTACCATAAAAATACATAAAATTGCGCCAAAAAAAGAAATAAAAGAAGAATGTAGTAAAAAACGCAAAAACTGTAGCCCAAAAGCCAAAAGCCAATGGCAACTGCAATGGCGGCCTGGGGCTCACTCTACAGTGGAATAATATCATTCTCTAATTGGAGAGGCTGTAATAAAGCAATCAGTATAATAATACATACATACAAGTGTATACAAAATCAAAAGCTCTTGTTCATAGATGAACTAAATACCTGAATAATTCGAAATGCAGTAATAGCTTCTGAAGGTTTTTAAGTATAACTATGCTGATGCAATAAAGCAACAGACGATTAGAGTTTCTATATAAAGCTGTGAATTAAAATAAAGAAGTAAATCTTCTCATAAATGTTCGTATATGATTACTTTTTATTTGCATTATCCTTAGTTTAATTAAATATAGTATAAAGTATAGGATACAACTTTTGAGTCTTAAATAATTACACAAAACGTTAATTAGTTATGATTACAAGTGCTGGTGTATTTAAAAAAATCTTACTTGTATTTGGATTTTCAAAATGTGGAAAAAAAACTAAATACTACTTTTTAAATGAAAGTTATATTCCCATTGGTCGAATTGAGGTTCGGCAGCTAAAAATAAAGTGAAAATGATATGATTAGGCTTTAACCTTTTTCTAAGCGCTGTAAAAAGTTGGATAAATACTCGTATTAGTTGCATAAATGAAATCCAAAGCATTAGTTAAAATATTAAAGAATTCAAACATTTAATAAATAAATTGATTTAAGTAATATTTTTATTTTAACGGCAAAGCAGCTTTATTTAAAAATATTATCCGGTCCTTTTTTGCTGCTACTATACTAGTTGCTTTAAATGGGTAATGGATCATATCGCGTACATACAATATTTTTTATTATGGAAATACTTTTCGTTGAAAGCACAGGCTTTTATTGTTTTTATAAATATTGATATTCTATTTTTGATAATCCATATCAAGGTGAAAATTAAAAATAACATTTAATTAAAACTATTTACAAATAGACACATACCTTTAAATAGTTTCAAGTGCTTCCACGATTTGTGGCAACACAATTGCCGAATGCGAAATTATTTAAAAATATTAAACACAAAATGAAACGAAACCAAAACAAATAATTATTTCTACTTTTCCCTAATCAGCATAGCAAGAAGATTCGCTTTTATTATTCATAGAAAGAACTGGCTTGTTACAAACCATATAAAGTCGTCTTCTTGCAAACAAATCTTTGAACCAATATGTCTGCGGACCCCAAACTTGCATGTTATCTTTTCTTATCCATGGAAGAACTAGCTTGTTACAAACCATATAGAGCTGTCTTCTCCGTTTTATAATGCATTGTAGTCCTATTTATTTTTTATTGGAATACTTTTTAATTAAAGTAGCTGGTTGATAGTATTTAAAAACTGTAACTGACTATTGTATTACTTGAATCTTGCTTCTTTTTCTTCTTTTTTTTTTGACATTAGTTTGCCAAAATGGCACACTGTGTAGGAGAAGCAAGCAAGCAAGTGCATGCAGAGTAAATTGGAATTTTATAGTTGCAACTTCTTGGCGCTGGCAAAGGTAACAAAGAAAAAGTAAAAGAGGAAGCAGACGCTGCTCGTATACTCGTAACTGTTGAAAATGAAGATGCTGCTTGGTGATAGTGATGCCAACACCAACTAATTTAGCTGTGGATGGGAGTCTTGAGTCTGAGTCTGAGTGTGAGTTTGAGGCAATGTTCTTGCTCTTGCACTTGCACTCTTCAGTCATCGCGAAGACGACAAGACAACAAAACTGGCATTTGGCACTCTCGTTAGCATTTTACAACACTGGCCGGGCGACAGTAGGGTTGTCTGACTGCCGCTGCCACTGTCGCTGTCGCTGAATTACAGAAGTTCAAGTTGCAGAAGTCAACTCACGTTCGTTGCGATGATTTGTGACCAGCTGCAAACTTTTTGCACAGCCATTTTATATTATTATTTCTGCGCCTGCACTTCCGCTTCCGTTTGACTTTGCGCACAGTGTTGCATGTAAATTTTTGTGCCAGCATACCAAACAGTTGTGAGCCCTTAGTTTTCCCTTTTTTGTCTTTTTGTGATCGCTTATCACACAGCCAGACAAACAAAGGAAGCGCATGTATGTGACTTTGTTTTGTTAATGCACCAAGTGCATGAGGGTGCGCGTGTGTATGTGTGGGTGTGTGTGTGTGAGTGTGTGTGAGTTTGTGGCTGTTGATTTAATCTCTGGTGTTGACTTGTGGAATGGAATGGCTGAAGTGTTTATGACTTCATTATAAATGTCTGTCGGAAAAGTGACAAACTGCGGTAGACGGCACATTTCTATCCACTTTTCTAAAACACATTTATTTAAAGCTACATGACTTGACTAATTAATAGATATATCGCTAGATTGTGGAACGCCGCAGCTCCTGTTAGCTGATAAACTGTGCGATCAACCCAGCCTTCGAAATACGTGTAGTTTACGAATTTAATGGCGTCAACACGAATGCATTGCTGAGCTCCACCGATGATGCCCACCAAGTGGTCCTCGCATAGCAAGGGACCGCCCATATCGCCGGCGCAAATATTTCCGTCAGCCTCCGGTTTTGTGCATAAATTACCCTCCGCGTGGTAGTCTCTTATTTTCTCGCTGCAGAGACTATGATTGGCTATCACAACATCCAGGAACATTATTTCATTTGCATAAGGGCCGTGCTGCACCAAATAGAGCGTCAAAGTAGAGGCGAATATTGGGAGCTGTGTTATGTGCTTACCATGAACATTTGGCCCCAGCCCATGGTTGTGCAGCGCATGCCGATCTCTAGCGCAAAGGGTTTTCCGCTCACCACGGACTTGACGTGGCGCACATTGCGAGGTATTCGTTCCACCAAACGCAACACAGCCAAGTCGTTTTTCACATACCTCTTATACTTGGGATGCACAACTATGCGGTCGACGCGACGGCGATCTTGTAACGATAAACTTTTCAGCCTATACAGCGTGCCGAAGACCACAATTATCCTGCGAGGACTCATAAGCGCCATGTACCTGCTTTAGGGAGGCAGTCCAGTCAGCGCCATTTTTGTTTGCTTCAGTCACTCGCACACTTACTCTGCAACGCAATGGGCAGCTGTGAGGATGGTCCGGCTGCTGATTATGACGCCCCGAACAGAAATGATTGTCGCCCGCATACTCAATGATGTTTAGGGTTCGAATGGACACCACATGCCTGGCAAGCTGGCCATTATCAGGTAGACTTCCACCAGCAATGAGCATTTCAAATGTATCATCACTGAGATCCGACACTGTGCCCCGATCACATTGCACAGTACTACATCCAATAATGATAGATGTAAGTGTTAGAAAAGCGTTCATTTTGAGTTTAATTTCAAGCTTCAGTTTTTACTTAAAAATACCTTTAAAAAAAAACAACTTACTGGTGGAGGTGAAAATCTATTGAAGACACCTATCCCTATTATGGATGGCTTTATAGATGGCTTAATCAACTATTCGATACTATTTCATATTTAATCGTAATAACTACAGTTATGTTTCAAGTAACCAAATAAACAGCTATTATATAGTTTTTTTCCCCAACTACCTATCCACTGCTTAAGTTCTTTCATTTAAATTTTGTAATTATAATACTTGTATAATGGCGTCAATAAAAACGCATGAATCTAAATTTCTGCGACACAATCGCTGCGATTCGTAAGCATTAAATGGAAAAATACTTTGTGGCTGTAACGTGCTTGAGCGCTCGTCTAACGACCTCTCAGACACAAGTCATAAACGGGCCATGCAGACGCAACCAACAACATGCAAACAAACTTACAAAGAACTTAAGTGCAAAACAATTAAAGACAAACAGCTCGATGACTGCACCCACATACTCACCACACATACACAACACACCACACGCCCCATTCACATATACATTCACATTTCAAAAAACAAACAAACAACACAACACTGCGCCAGAAAAAGTTTTGCCAGCTCAAAAGTCATGCAACATTTGGAACGCAGTTTTTCCCACGTTGCCTTTGCTCCCGACTGTCTCCCTGTCTGTCTCCCTGTCCTGTCTGCCTGTCTGTCTGTCTATGTGTAGGTGTGCGTGCGCTTGTGTGAGTGCCCGCTTACGCGTGTCAACATTCACTTGATTATTTGCGGGTGTGAAGGTAACTTGTGCGTTGCCCACCGGCATATACACACCTTTTGTTCAACCTTTTCACTTATTTTGCCACACGAAAATATGCTTTGCATTTTAAATGGCATTTTTCTCCCCCCGAGCTACCTTCTTGACTTCTTTTGCATATTTGAAGTGTGTAAAATGTGTGAGTGCCAGTGCCAGCACCAGTGGCAGTGCCAGCGCCAGCCGCCTGCGGCATGTCATTCAATCATTTCTTTAGCTCAAGCGTCAACATTCCAGCGCCCTCGTCATTCTCCTGCCCCATGCCCCAACCTTATGCCCTTCCTCAACGTGTTGTCGTGGTCCTTGCACCGTGGGCTTCATTTTTTTTTATGAGAAAATCGAAAAAATGATTGAATGTTGTACGTTTTTGAATTATATTTGTAGTTTCCTTTCTTTCTATATGATCAAAATTATGAGAAAACAAATCTTCTAAAGATAATGGGAAGAGACTTAGAATAGACATTTATGATGCGAAAATCGAAAAAAATTATTGAACTGCTGTACGTTTTTGAATTATCAGGTCAGTTTATTTTCTTTCTATGTGATCAACAAATGTGAGAAAACGAAGAAAATAACTAACTTCTACAGATGATGGGAATAGACTTAAATACAAATTTTGTTGCGAAAATCACAAAAATTCTTGAAAGTTGTACGTTTTTGAATTATCATTTAGGTTCCTTTCTTTCTATATGATCAGAAACTATGAGAAAACGAAGAAAACAAATCTTTAAAAGATGATGGGAATAGACTTTGTAGAATAGACATTAAAAAGCGTAAGGATGCATAAAAAGTAAAATGAAAATTAGCTTGAAAAGAGTGGCTAAGAAAGAATCTTATAATGTATTTATATAGGTATTTATATATTTATTTATTTTCAAACAAAGCTGTCGATGTAAAAAACAAACAAAACAATTGCGAACTTTAACTAATAAAAACTTAAGAGTTAAAAAGCCTATAGAAATTATATAATAACGAATCCGACTCGGTCGGGGATTTTATTTGCCAAGCAGCTAGCTATGTCCCGATTCATAGCAGAGAATAGATAGCGACGTTATTAGGCCTAACATATGTTATGGGAATTTGATTTATAGAATTAAAGAAATAGCAATAAAAAATAAAAAAAATATATAAAATTATAAATAATATATATAAAATTAAAAAAATCCTAAATTGAAATTAAATACTAAATAATAAAAGATAAATTATAATTAAAAGCTAAAAGGTGGAAAATCAATAGGATACCTGAAAGTTAAGACAATAGCAACAGCAAAAACATTTTTATTCCCACTGTGCAGTGTCGTCGTGGTGGTAGTAAAATGCCAGACAATCTGTGCGCGTGTTGGAATTTTGATTTTTCAGGTAAATGCAGTAAAAGAAGAGGAAGAAAGCTCGGTTGGACGAGCATTTGGTGTCCATGCATCGCTCGGCTCGGCTAATCTCGACGGCCGCAACAACCGCTTCAACCGCTCCAACCGCTCCAACCGCCAACCGCACATTAGCACAAGCGGCTATTCGTCGTTGGCAAACATTTTGGCCTCGACATGGCGCAAAAATCGTGCATTGATGATGATAACAACGCCAGTGACCGCTGCCTCACGTTGCATATTCACGGAGCATTAGCGTTGAACGCCGAGCCCATGCAACGCGTACGTTGAAAGTACCGCAAGTTTCAAAACCGAATGCGCTGCGTTGCGTATACGCCGCGTGGGTTGATGCTTTTGACACGATCTGCTGATTTTCAGCGCTCTTATGGTCAACATGGAGCAGAAGTGGCAACTGTTGATGGTTAGCGCTTTTGTGTTTAATAAACATATGCTAATCTGTTCGTTTGAGAGCATTCAATACGGTGAGGTGCTTAAAAATTCCTGAAATATTTGAATACAGCCAGGTACAGATCTTAGCGAATGAGACCGGATCGAAAGTCAAGTGCTTGCTCTACTGGCAGGAAACTGAATACGATCTTTAAACTTAGTGGCTATAGCCACTAGTAAGCAGACAATGTCAGCTCCAGTTTAGCTTATTTAAGAAATTGTTAGGATGTTCATTGGCGCTTTAAGCAACCCACTTTAAATGGACTATATTTAGCCATTTGGGGAAAAGTTTTGATAGCAAAATCATATTCTTATTGAATATAAGAAAAGAAACTTCGTTGGGATCAGTGTAATCGGCATATCGCTACAAAACAAGGACATAGAGACCTTAAAAAGCGAAAAAAAGGATAGAAAAATTAAAAAAGGACAAAAAACAGGACAACTAGTTTTTTTAAATATATATTTTATTGTTTGGGATGCCATGCTGGTCTGACCCGGGTATGGAAATTCTATAAAAAGTATATAAAATTAAACAAAATATTAAAAAAAATAAAAATATGTTTAAAAGCGATGCCAAAATGTTGTAATTAAATAATATATATACAAATTCAAATAACCCATACCCAAATAAACTTCCCGCGGTGTGTCATAGCAGAAGAAAGAAGGAGCAGTTTATGGTCGTGGTTACTGGAGTTGTTTCGCTTATAACTTATCGAAGAATTGAACAATTTTGATCAACTTTATTTATTTATTTATTTATTTAACACATCAAAAATAGTTCTGTCGATTATAATTATCAAAATATATTTTAACATTATATGTATTGTTGAAAAATCAATACAAACATAAGTACCAATGCACGCATGTTAATATAAGCAGATAATAATCTTATGTTATCTACAAGTTATCTGTCACTGTTGCATACGAATGTAAGCATAAAGAATATGTATAGCAAAAGTGTCAGTCTCCAATAAAACTCTAAAGCGAACAGACGCACGGCGGTCCGCGACTATTGTCTTTTACTTTACTCCTACTGAGCCCTTCCCTTTTCAGCGAATATATAATCTATTCAATAGGTTATGGGCCCAGGGCATATAGGCTCATAGAGAAGTTCAAAGTATTGTGAAATAGTAATCGTTTGGTGACTCAAGAAATATAACATTTAAAAAATGAGTGCGCTATATCAAATAGACAAATTGGAAGAGCATAACTATGACTCATGGAGCATACAGATGCGATCTGTCTTAGTGCACGCGGAATTGTGGAGTGTGGCATCAGGTGCTGAACCTAGTAATACTGAGAGTTCAAGGCCAAAAGATGAAAAGGCATTAGCAATTATAACGCTAAGTGTAAAAGCTTCACAATTGGGCTTCATTAAAAATTGCAACACTTCGTACGAGGCATGGAAAAAGTTAAAGGACGTTCATCAGCCGAGTGGACCTGTACGGAAAGTGTCGCTGTACAAGAAATTGCTAGGCAAACGCATGTTTCAAGGCCAAAGCATTTCAAGTTACATACACGAATTTAACGAAATTCTGGATGGTTTGTGTACAGTTGGCATCGAATTAAATGATGAGTTAAAAACAATCGTGTTGTTGTCAAGCTTGCCCGAACCATACGAAAATTTGTCGTCGCCATTGAGACGCGTGACAATTTACCGTCATTTGATGTGTTATGTATCAAGCTGATGGAAGAGGGAGAGCGCAGAGGCAATGCAGATGGAGAGAGCGAGAATGCAAGAGCATTTATAGCTACGCAGCAGATCGTCGCGCATTCCAAAGCGAATTCAAAAAGGAATTCAAAAATCGTCGTTTGCTACA